GTCACAGCCTAGCAGTGACCAGCACTCAAGGGCAAGGCCTTGGTGTGGCCTCTCTTTAGCACTAACTGTTTATGTGGAAAGGCCCACATTCCAGGTTGTCACCTTAGCTGGGCAACTATCTTGAGTTAAATTTTAACCACACTATTTCATTTTCATGGTATTTATCTTTGAGATCAATATTCTTGATAAGTGACACCTTTTTTCAGTTCAGGAAAATGATTAAAGATATTTGTTAAAATAGGAAAATAGGAAGTAAAAGTGACACTTGGCTGTGGTAGAACTCTTGAAGGTGACCCTGATGTGACTGGAGACTGTCAGGCACTGGCCTGGCTCCACATTTCCCTGGTCACAGCTCAGCCTCCCCCTTTAGGCACTCCTCACCTGAGCCAGGGACCTTGGCACTGACCACCGCTGTCCTGGATAAGGGCTGCGCCTGGGGAGGGAGCGGCATGGGGGAAGGGACCGTGGTCCTTGCCTTGCTGAGGAAGGGCAACTCCCTGTGCTGTCTGATTGTCATTGAGTCTCTGCTGTCTTGAATAGGCAAGCGCCAGGGCCAGGTCACTCCACCAGCTTTGAGGGGCACTTGGTAATGGTTCCTTAGGGGTGGTGAAGCATTTTCCCAAGGGCTTGAGTGATCATCCCCTGGGCCATCCATCCTAAATGATGGCACATGCTTCTAGAGCTGGCACTGACCAGAAACCACCATGCTTCCTGCTCTTGGCTAGCAAGACAGCAGGGGTCATTGGTCTTAGCCACCTGGGTTTCCAGGCCCACCTCTGTCACTCAACTTCCAAGTGATCTTGGGCAAGTCAGTTCCCTCACCTCAATTTCTTCACTTGCCAATGGAGATGACAACCTTGAATGAGTCAGGACCTTGTCAGGGACAAATACTCAGCACTAAGGACCTTAAACCAAAGGAAAACTTACCAGCTTGTGAGACTGATTATGTCATTGTGACTTCAGGCATGGCTGGATCCAGGGATTCAAAGGGCATTCTCATCATTCAGCTCTGCTTTCTTCAGTATTAGGATCATTCTTTGTCAGCTCTTCTCCCTACAGTTCAAAGATCATTTCTGTAATTTCTACGTTCACAGACTACTAGTTCATCAAACCTAGAAGAACCTTCAGTAGTCCCAGGGATTGAGTCCCTCTGGTCCCAGCTTGAGCCCTGTGCCCAGCCCTGGACCCATCATAGGAGTTAGGAGAACAGGCCTCTGTGACTGGCCAAGTTAGGTCACATGACCACACATGGAAGGGCAGTGGTCATGTGAAGGGAACATGGTCCCCAGGAGATGAGGACAGACCAACTGAAACACAGGTGCACTGAGAGTAGGGGAAGGGTCCCCTCTAAGGAATAAGGGCTCTGATACCAGAAATGATACAAGGCAGCAAAATCATAAACATTCACCAACAATCCCACTTACTGGAGTCTTACGAGAGTCAGATGAGAAAAGGCATATGGAGTCACTTTAGGAAATGCAACGTCAGACTTCTGGTACTATCATTAATCACAGAGAAGAAATGCAGGAATTCATATGGCCTCAAAGGTGTTTGAATAATATGCAGTTTTAAAAATAATCCACAAGCAGTTCATTTTATCCATTTTTTCACTGAATCACAAGCTGTCTCTCTTTGGATTTACAAAAGGAGAAAGGGAGGGGGGTGCTAGGTGGGCAGCCTCAGGCATTTCAGGGGACAGAGAACAAGAGGAAGTCGTAGATGTGAACATGAAGAGCCACGTGTGGGGGGCTGGGCTTAGTCCTCCAAGGCCCTGGCCACAACTGGAGCCTTTGAAAGCAGATGGGAACCTAACCCTGAAGCACTAAACCCTACACCTTGAACAAAGGCAGGACAGGGTGGCACAAAGAGAGGACTAGGAGCTGGACAGATCTGGATACAAATATAGGATCTGCCTCTGACTGACCCAGGGTGACACCAGACAGGTGCCACATTCTAGACCTGCTAGGAGAACTGTATGAGATTCACAGGATGTTCTGAACTGCAGCCTCTCTTTCCTCTTACTGTTTTTAATCAACTTAGGGCTAGTCCATCAGGGACAGTAGGACAAAGTGATGACGAGCATGGACTCTGGAGCCAGCCCATCTGGGTTGGAGTCCACACTTCCCATTTAGTAACTGGGCAACCTTGGGCAAGTTACCTAACCTTCCTGTACGTCTATTTCTCATCTGTCCAGTGAAAATGATGCTAACACCACCTCAGAGGCTGGGTGAGGATTAACTGAGTTGATACCTGCCGACCTGGGCACATAGTGAGCCCTCTCTATGTTAGCGGTTGTTCAGTAGGTGCCCACCTGCGCAGCTCGTCCACATCATAGGCTCAGAGAGGCCAACCTGCCCAGCACAGCCACACGGACACTCCAGAGTCTTGCCACTGACCTATGGGGCCCTAAGGAGGGACGATAACAAGGGTCCTTAACAGATCTCTTCCAGAGGGTTAGAAAAATTGACAACAAAGTGGATGTTGACCCTTCTGTCAGTCACTTTGTCAGATTGTTTTGTGCCCTAGCAGCCAGCAGGAACAGCCAGCACCAGAGGGGAGAGAATAGGGAGGAAAGGGAGAGAGAAAGGAATATGGTGCCCAGGAGATGAGGTCAGGCAGGTGGGAGTCCTTTGCAGCTAGAGGGGCCTGGCCAAGAAGAGGGGAGGTGGGTGGGGGAGAACTCCAAAGGGTAAAGGGCTGGAATACCCCTTATTAAAGAGTGACTAGACTATAATTCACTCTTTTTAAAAAAAAAAACTTTGTTCTCATGATCAAAGGATTTTGTCAGACTTTATGTAATTCACATATGAAAGCAATAGGGCTTGCTTTTTTTTTAGATTTTACTTAAATCTTCTGTCTTTATTAGCAATTTTATTTAGATATAATTTACATAACACAAAAATTCACCTTTTAAAGTGTACCTGGCAGTGGTTTTCAGTATGTGCACAGTTTTGCGACCTTCACCACTATCAAATCTTAGAACAATTTCAGCATTCCAAAGAGAAACCCTGTGCCCATTTGACATCAGCCCCCACCTCTTGCCCCCACACTAGGCAACCACTGATCTACTTTCTGTCTCCGTAAATTTTCCTGTTCTGGGCATCTCATAAGAATGGAATTACACAACATGTGGTTTTTTGTGACTGACTTCTTTCACTCAGCATGTTTTCAAGGTTCATCCATGTTGTAGCAGGTGTCAGTACTGCCCCCCTTTTATGGCTGAATAATATTCTGCTATGTATATATAAACCACATTTTGTTTATCCACTCATCAGTTGATGGGTTGTTTCCAGTTTTGGCCTATTATGAATAATGATGCTGTGAACATCTGTGTACACAATTTTATGTAGACAGATGTTTTCAGTTCTCTTGGGCACATAGCTAAGGGTGGAATTGCTAAGTCATATAGTAACTCCACATTTCACTTTTTGAGGAACTAACAAACTACTTGCCAAAGCAGTTGTAAGTTTTCTTAATGCCATTGATGGCCTGTGTGCAGAGAAAGACTTATTCAGAATTCCCTTTGACTTTTAAAAAGTAATAATTTCTTAAAATGAAGATTTTAAAACATAAGCATTTAAAAACCTTTTTAAGTTCAACCATTCAGTTGTATTCTAATCATAAATTTAGCGAATGTAATAACACAGTTTAAGGAGACTTTGATTAATAATTGGTCCTCTTTTCAAAATTAAAACTGCTTTGGGCAGTGTATGCTGTATTTATTCATTCCATATATTTCCTTTATAAAAGTAATTGATGTTATATGTCAATGATACCTGAAAAAAGCTAGAAAAAAATTAAGTAAAATCAAAATAGTTCAGTTCTCTAAAAAATAAAAAAACTTAATAAAACAAATTGATTGACAAACAGGCTACCCAAGTACTTTTATTACAGTCTAATAACAGTAAACATATTAATATAGTAAAATTCAAGGTTTTTTGAAATGTTTTTGTTCTACTTACAATCCAATAAGTAAGAATTTAACTTCAAAGTGCAATCTAAATCAGCTATTTCAACAGCCCAATTTAAATCAGAATCTCAAGGCTTATATTTTAAGTGCCTTACTATGCCAAATTACAGAAAACATTTCAAGAACTTAAAATATCAAATATGCAGAACATAGCACCAAAAAATATTAATACTTATTAATATTAAGAATATTATTTGATTCTCTTAAGCGGTTCTACACATAATTCTATATCTTCCCAAAATTGATAAAAAATGACCCAATAAGAAGACATTTGAAGATTGCCACCTTCCCAAGTGATACGGAGGAGAGGACAACACCTAAATCCTTAAGTGACTGAAGTTTTACGTCAGGATTTCTCTTTTTTTGTGGCTCTATCAGGCTCAGCCCTTTTTACAGCCACTGTCATGATGATTTCAACACTTCCAAGATCGAAATCAAAGAGCCCAGCTGCGGTTTGAGTCATATCATAATTCAATTTTCAAGTCTTTATCACTACCCATATTATGGTACCACTTGTTTGGATTCCATGTATCACTTACTGCTTTATTTTTCTCTGAATACTCTCTGACTCCAGCCAAATTGCCTTGGGTTGAGTCCTGGCTCTGACAATTATTAGCTGTGTTACCTTGGAAAGACAGTTAACCTCTCCATGCCTCAGTTTTCTTAGCCATAAAGTGGAGAGAGAGAAGTACCTGCTCACAGGGTTAGTCTGAAGATTCAGTGAGATAATGTATGTGAAGCCCTTTAAGCACTGCCTTCTGCGGGAAGCCTGGCTGAAAGGTTCGCTGTGATTTGCATCACCATCACTGTTACTCACTAGGGCCACGAGGTGTAGCTGCTCACAAGGAATCTAATTGGTTTTCTGCATGGGAGGCTGTGTCAGGCTCAGGGCAGCAACTTCTGAGGTCATTCTAATGACCCATTCAACCCCTTGCTTCTTAAGAATGTCAAATGCTCCCTCTCCAGGACAATACCTCACGAAGTGTGGGTTGAGCCCAGAACCCAAAGTCGCTACCATTTCTTCCAAGGTCTGGGTGTTCCCTGAAATGGGTTGATGGCCCTTTAAGAGGCGGTGGCTTACTTCCTGTTGCCATGGAGATGACCAGACACATACACACCGGCAGACCCAGGCAGCATGTCCTCTAAAGTTCAGTCCACAGGTGGGCTTCTGGGTCTGGAAAAGGGAGGGGTATTTTCCCCCTCACAGTCCACCCTGGGGTGGCTGTGGGAGATTCTGCCCTTGGGAGCCCTGCCCCATTCCTGTCTTCCCCAGAGTCCACCATCTCAGCCTTTCCTCACTCCATAGGCCCCAGAGCCAAGGACCACGGGCCCTCAGCCCAGGAGAGTCTGCCACCCCCAGTGGCCAATGCTGAAGCCATCCACTTCCTCAGCTCCCTTGGTGAGGAGGGGGTGGGGGGAGGGGGAGGAGGGCCCCCGCATAAGTGGGAGAGGAGGGAGAGAGACAGAGAAGGCCCAGGCCTGGCCCTGCTTCTCTCCCTTGATTCTCCTGGGACACAGAAGGACGTGAGGCCTGCTCGTTGATATTCTTCAAGGGAAGACCCCAGGAACGTGGGGGCAAGGGTGTCTTCCCCTGCTGGCTGCTGTTGAGGCCAGTAGAGGGGAAACAGGGGCCACCAGGAGATGTGGAATGGGGGGGAACTCTTGGGGCACTGGTGGCTGGGGGGTCAGAGAGCTGAGGCCCAGGAGCTGGGGCTTCACCTGTCTCCATGGGACCTTCACCCCAGAGCAGAATGAGCTGCAGACGCTGTTCTTCTCCGAGACTCTGGCCGTGGTTACAGACACAGGGGAGCCTCAGGGAGAGCTGACCATTGAGGTGCAGAGAGGGAAATACAAAGACGAATGTGGTGTCATGTCGCATTGCCTCCTCGTGCACGCGTTTAGCCGCAGCTTCGTGGACAAAATGCTCTGTGGAAACTCCCTCCTCGGTAGAGTTCTGACACCCCCCTACCATTCTCGGGACCTTTGACTTTACCCTGGGACCAGCGTGAGGCAAAGAGGGTGTGGGGGAGGTGGGGGTGACTGGGAGGTTAATCAGTCACAGACTCAAGACAGGAGCACCATTTAGTTTTGTCCTATGGCCATACTATACCCGAGTCCTCCAGCCTGCACAGCCACCCTCCCTTCGTACAATCTCCAGCCCCGTCTCCCATGATGGCAGCATCCACCTCCCTCTGCCTCAGGCTATCTCTCCTCGAATTTGGAGATCAAGGAACAACAGAGTCAAGAGTTCATCAAGGTATCTCCTGGGGTACCAACCAGGTGAAAGAACAGAGACCTGGGAGGGAGAGAGGAAGAAGGAAGAGGGTCTCAGTGGACTGTCCCTGCAACTTGCTCCCGAGTTACCCTGCAATCCCCACCACACACAACTTGACGGCAAGCCATCTGGGGTACTGGAGGTCAACAACAAGTTGTTTCTGATGACCTTCTCCTACTGCACAAACTCTGCGTCCAACCCACCAGGGCACCCCTCCAGCCTGAGCCCAGAATCTCCCTGGGGACCATGTGGGCTGGCCTTTCGCAAAGCCTGGTCTTCCCGAAGTCCTGTTACCTCCGTCCTCCAAATTCTCCTGCTCTATGCCCTTCACACTCAGCCCCAGCTACTTCACTAACTTCTGGATTGTGACCTGTTTGGACATGGGTAATCACTCATGCCTAAGAACTTTTCTGCAGAAGCCATTCCTAACTTTTTAAATTGGTATTCTGACGTGCAACTACTTTTAACTCTAAACTGCACCATAATAGGATTTCTACCCTTGAGCTTTCTACATACGGAAGGTTTTCTATCCATATCTCCCCTCAATTTCTCATTTATAAAGGAGAAGGGACAAGGTGGCCTCTGGGGGGTCCTATCTACAATCTGGTGAGTCCCTGATCCTCCCCTCCATGCTCTGGCCCGCAGTTCCACATCCTCCCCATGGAGCGGAAGATAAGTTTGCTGAAGCAGGATGGTCAGCTGGCCGTGACCAGAAGTGTCAAGAAGGGTGAGGTAGGGAAGAAAGCCAGGTGGTAGCCATACTCTACAGCCTCTGAAACCATGAGCAGGGGCCAGATTGTGATAGGCCAGGAACCTGGACTGGGGACTCAGCAAGGACCATATGCCCAACACCCAGTTTGCTTGCCCTCCTTGGTTTGACATCGCTGACCCAGATTTGTCCTGAACAGGAAGTGAAGACCGAAGTGACGATTTTCCCCTGGCATTCAGTCACGGGCTTCATCTCCGAGGCTGCCAACCTGGTGTTGCTCAGAGTCATGGGCTGGCGGCAGATGGTGCCCAGCAACGCCCGCTTCCTGGCCTTGGACACAGAGGGCAAACTCTGCTATTCCACCTATGTGAGGGGTCTCCCTGGGCGGGGACTGGGCCAGGGGCAAACTAGAAGGGCGTGAAGGTGGCTGGTTGGGAGAAAAGACAGTCGTGCAGTAGAAGAGGGAGTGCGGTGGGTGGGGATAAAATCGGTCGTGATGAGAGGGCTTTCATGAGCAGGAGAAGATAGGCTGCATTGCTAGATCAGGTGTGCAGCAGATGGGATGAGAGGGGTGAGAAGTGACGGAAGCAATGCTTTTGGCACATAGGAAAAATAAACATAGCAGAGGTCTGCTTTTAAAGACACAGTTTTTAACATCAGGAAATACAACATCTCCAACTACACACAGATATTCTTTTATTATGTCTCAACCCTGAAGGGTGTTTTTTGTTGTTTTATTATTTTTTTTTGGAGAAAATGTCATTATCAACATACCTAGGCTAGGACTTCTTGCAATATGTGATTTCAAAGCTGCACTACTGAACACACACTTTGGGCACAGATTTGACTGTAAATGACACAATACACAAATATGACAGAGTGATGTGTGTGACACATACAGGCCTATGCCAAGTTCCCCCATTTCATTTGAAGCACACATTCTGTGTTAGCACCTTTCTCCCGATGGCCGGCCACCAGACAGGAGTTTAATTACAACATGGCCCTCTGCCTGCAGCAGCGTGGGCCTGAGCGGCCACAAACCCCAACCTGTCACTCCTCAGTACCTGACACCTCCCCCAGACAGCCCAGCCCCCCAACCCTCTTCCCACTCACCCCTAACTGGTTGATCCTCATCCATGAAACAGAATCCACCAACTAGAAGCACATGGTTGTGGAGATGGGTTGGGGAGAGGTTGGCGCAGAAGAAGGGCAAACTTGGCTCCTTATGAGGGGCCCCCCAACTCAAATCTCGTGGCGCCCAAGGCTCTGGACATCCAAGGGTTGCTTATCACTGGTGAACAAGGAATGAAGGTGCAGGATGGAGAAAAGGACTGGGGGAGAATTTGGAGTGAGAACCTGGCGGACATTCACCTCACCTCCTTCCTCCATTTTGGTGGCTGCCAGGAAGGCCTAGGCTTCCAGACAATCCAGGTGGACCGTCAGCAGGTGAAAGTGTTCATTGTGGAGCAGACTGTTCACTCCACTGCGGGCATCCCCATGTCCTGCCAGTTCTTCCTGCTCTCTGATGGGTGAGCGCTCCTGATGGTGGGGCCCAGGGGGCAGTGTTGAGTAAAAGGAGACAGCGGTTGCTGGGGATACCACAAGGAAGAGCTGCTGTTGAGATCTGATGGCCCCTTGCTTTGTCCACCCCAATCACCCTTTCTTCATTGATTCACTTATTCTCCTGATCCTCCCAAACCACACCAAAGAATCCTAAAGGGCTGGGGAAGTCAACGCCAACTCCACAGGGCCTAAGGCTTAGCTAAAGCAGTTGCCACAGGTGTTGGGTGTAATGCTGCAAAACACCAAGGTTTGAACAATTGGACACTTGATAAAAATCAGTGGACTGGGAGAAGCACAGTGCCAAGCGGTCACCAGCAAAGCACAGGTACCAAATCATGAGAAAATCTGGGAGGGAGAGGAGAAGAATTTGTTGAAATTTCTGAAGAGCTATTGACATAATCATTACACTGGAAGAAAGGTAATCAGAACATTGTTGGTGCTCCTTATTTCATAACTTGTTGACTTGTTTCTACTTTGAGTGTCACACAGCAAGAGGCTCACAATTTTTTTAGTGCTTTCGCCTCTAGGATCTCAGGCCGGCCCTAGAACATCCATATGCATCTCCAGGGGGATGAACAGCACCCAGTCTGAAAAACAGGAGCCATTATCTGGGCATCTAGAAACGAACAGACCCTGGAACTCAAAGACAAGTGGGGGGAGGCAGCAGTAAAGGGAGGTCCCCAGGATGTCTCTCAAGGGAGTGGGCTGCTCTGGGAAGACCCCCAAACTCACAGCTTCTGTGTTGCACTCCAGACATCTGGCCAAGAGAGTCCAGGTGGGCTCCCCGGGGTACTGCATGGTCACCAAGATGCCCATCACGAGGGAGGTAGGTGAGTGAAGCCTCTGGCTGGTAAGAGAATGAGGGGGAGGTGAAGAAACCTGGGGTCTTCCAGGGTGCAGGGGCTGGACTGGGTGTGAGGTGGAAGCTTCAGATGGAGAAGCTCTGCCCTCCAGCCCCTGACCCAAGGATCATTTTGTGTAGAAGCCCCTGTAGCAACCCCACCCATGTGGGCAGAAAAACCCAGGGTTTACACAAGCCTGCAATTTTGAAGGGAGTTCTCGGGCACCCCTCTGCATCTGAGGAAGTTTCTGGGGTCGAGGTATGCAGCCTTCCTCCCTCCCCACTCAGATGAGAGAGAGCCTGGCCCGGTATTTGAGAAGAAGCCCCTGGTGTGGGAGGAGGACCTGGAACTCTACTCCAAGTTCGTGGACCGAAAGGTGAGGAGAGGCTGCAGCCAGCCTGGGGTCCCCAGTGCCCCTTGGCATAAATTCCCCCATTGGTGACTGCTCTTTGTGTCTGCTTGAAATACACACGCCTAGGAATGGGTGGTCCCAGCGTCCCTAAGCCCCCCTTGGAGCGAAGTGTGTGCGGAGGGATCCTGGGGCGCGGGGGTCCCGGTGGGCTCAGGCTCGTCTCCCCTCCCGCCCCAGGAGGAGCTCCGTCTCAGCCACGCGAACTACCTGCGGCACCACCCCGAGGCCCAAGCGCTCATCTCCGACTTCCTGCTCTTCCTGCTGCTGCGCCAGCCGGCCGACGTGCTCACCTTCGCCGCCGAGTACTTCGGTCCCTTCGCGCGGCGCCGCCCGCCGGCCCCCGCCTCGCTCTCCTCCCGCCGGCCCGGCCCCTTCCGCCCGCAGGAGCCGCGGCCCAGCCCCGGCGAGGGCTAGACGGCCAGCCGGAGCGCCGGGCCGCGGGCGGGGACGGGGCAAGGCAGGGCTGGAACGCGGGCGCGACGCACCCTGGAGGCGCGCTGTCCGGACTGCGGTTTTGATGGAAATAAACGGGGCCCTCCCGACTCCATCTGCTGTGGGAACCGGAACCTTCCTTGGCCAGACTCGTGTCTTAGCAAAGGAAGGACAGGAACCGTTAACAGCGTTTAGCGAGCGAATTTAAGCCTTTTTCTCTAGATGCTATTATTTTCAATATCCCTATTTTATAGATAGAAAATAGAGGCACAGAAAAGTGGAGAAACTTCTAGAGTCAGCACGTGGGAAGCCCGAGTCAAACCTGGAGGCTGGATTCCAAAACTCTCTTAGTGATAAGTTAGTGGGGATGGACAGGACGGGCTTCTTAGCACTCAGAATCATTCTGGACCCCACAGAGCACGCGGCCCGCTCCCCGTCTCCCCCACCCCACAAAGAAAAAGAGCAGACAACATTTGGGGGTGCGGTCAAGATCACCACTGGCCTTGCTCATCACCTTGGAAGCCTCCCAAAACACCTGCCACCAGCTTACATTATCCACCTCCATCCTTCTGGTTTCCCGCTGACACACAGACTGCGAGCGGGGCCCCCAGTTAACCTGCTTCCTGAGGAAAAAAGGGTTAAGCAGGTAATCATCACCTCTTTTAGGCTCCTTGCTTAATGTCAGTCTGGCCAGTAGCTTATTTCTGCCCAATGCTGGCCATGGCTCAGTAGCAATATCAGGCAAGTTCCCCTGAGGCAGCTGGTGGGGGCACTGTGGGTGCAGGGCGTGCAGGCTCCATCCCTCCATCTATTCATTCATGAGACCTGCTAGGAGAGATTTAGGCACACTGGAGAAACTCTGCACCACAGTGGACAATATGAACCAACATCTGCAAGGCGGGGGAGGGGCTTCCATGATGCAGGAATCCAGCAAGGAAGGCTTCATGGAGAACTATCACTTGACTTGAACCTTAAAGAATGCTTCAAAATATATTTTATCGTCCCCTTCCCTTACCTCAAAAGAAATACATGTTCATTAGAGAAACATAGAGAAGGGAGATAAACCACAAGAAGAAAGTGAATTCACCTCAATTCCTCGACGTAGAGACAGCCGCCACTCTTAACATTTTGGCCAATAATCCTTTCTACTCTTTCTTCTATGCATAAAAGTGGTTGGTGTTTGTTCAGCATTTGCTCTGTCAAGCACTTTTTTAAAGACTGTTTGATCTAGTCTTTACAACTCCAAGAGACTTTAAATATTTTTTAACAAAAATGAAATAATACAGCAATTAATGCTCATTAACTGGTAATTGCTTAGTTAACATTCTTGAAAAATTTCAAACATTATAGATGAAGCTGGAATCTCCCCAGATTCCCACCCCTCAATCTCCTTGTGTTTTGGAACTTGTTTCAAGTGTTGTAACTGAGTCTGTTTCATTTAACAATATATTTCGAAAATATTTCCATGTCATTACAGTCTTCTATTTTTGATGACTCTCCATAATATAATCAATCTCCCTCCTGCTACCTTTTCTTTTTTTTTTTTGTTAGTATAAACACCTTTGTAGCTAAATCTTTGCATATATCAACAATTATTTCCTTAAGGATACACTCCAAGAACTGTAATTGTTAATTAATAAGGACTTTGTTTGTTTGTTTGAACATATTGGCAAATTCTACATGTGTAGGATTATTATTAAGGATCAGATAACGCTTTTCAGGCAGAGAAAATAGGATTAGGAGTAGAACTAGGAAAGTATGATGTCTTCATGATCTAGAGCAGAGTTGGACAGCAGAACTTTTTGCAATGATGGGAATATTCTCTACCTGCAATGTCCAATATGGTAGACATTAGTCATATGTGGCCACTGAGTCCTAGAAAGGTGGTTAATGTGACTGAAGAACTGGAGTTCTGCATTAATTTTAACTTCAATTTTGCCACACGTGGTCAGTGGCTACCATATTGGACAACAACTGCTCTAGAGAGTAAGGACTTCAATTCAATCAGGCAATCAGCTTAACAAATGTTGGGTCCCTTCCACATACCAGGATTGTCCAGGGTACTGGGAGATCATTAGTGACAAGGCAAAGTCCATGTCCTCACTATGCTTAAAGGTAGCATGGGGAGATGGACAATAAACACAAAAGGCAATTTCATTTGTGAAATTTCAGAAATTTATGAAGAAAATAAAGCCAAGTTGTGGGTAGAAAGTGACTCAGGACTGTAAGCAATGGCCTTAAAGATGGCAGCTGAGAAGTGAGACAGAAACCACTTGCAAAATCCACATATAATATGAAAATATAGCAAATACAACTAATCCTGAAAGAGTGACAAGAAAGAAGACTGCGACAGACTTTCTACATCTGGGGAAAAGAGGATACATCATGGAAAAGGGTAAAGTAGCAAAGCTGAAATCTGGCAGGACCCTAGAACTCCCCTCACCACAGCTCACTGGGAGGAAGAGAAATGGAGCAGGGGTGGGGGTGGGTGGAGGCCTAGGACTGCTGAACACCCAGCCCTGGAGATCTCCTCTGGGAGCACAAACCTATATTACATGGTGCTCTGGAGATTAGTGGGATTGGAAAGCTAAAACAGGCAGAAGACTTAGAGATACTGAGATTCCAGCCACTTGTGGAGAACAGGTACCCACAACAGGCCACTCTGGGACAAAAGAAAGGCAGGCACTTTGAAAGACTTCCCAACAGTGAGAGGGCTGCTAAAGGGGCAAGGGTTACACAGAGCTTGCCTCTCAGGAGAAAGAACAAGTGGACAAGATTGTCCCAGTGCACTCATCCCAGCAGGTTAGGAACATTCAGGAGCTTCAGAAGCTCCAACCCCCTGGCTGGCAATGCAGTCCTGAGGCCCCCCACCACCATATCCAGCCTGCCACTCCTTCCTCCCTCCTGGCTGGCACCAGCTCAAAAAACTGCTGCCCTGCCATTGATTGCATCAGGCCAGCCAGAGGGTGGCCCCACCTACACCAGCTACAAGAGCATAGCATAGAGGCTCCTCCCTGCATGCTCAACCCACTTGCCCTGGCAGTGGAGGCTGACACTGCAGCTGGGAAGCAGGAAAGAGCTCTTTCCTCCCAGCAAGCATCAGCGCCACTTGCTTGCAACCCCCACCATCGCTCCAGGTACTGAGCAGCTCCAGAGAGCAGAGCTTCTGAGCACTAGAGGGTGCCACCTACACAAAGTTATTATTCCATATTATTCACAACAAATATGAAATGTCAAAAGAACCTGGTACAAACCAAAACCACAAACACCAGAAAGAGGGTCAAGTGAAACTGAAATTACCAATTTTCCTGATAAAGATTTCAAAATAGAAATCATGAACATGCTCACAGAGCTACAGAAAAACAGTCAAGACCTCAGGGAGGAATTCAAAAAGATAGAAACTTTGAAAAATACAGTATCCAAAAATGAAACATACAATGGAGGTATTTAAAAGCAGATTAGATGAGGTAGAGGAGATGGTAAATGAAATACAATTAGAGAACAGGAATACAAAGAAATTGAGACAAAGAGAGAAAAAAGGATCTCTAAGAATGAAAGAATATTAAGAGAACTGTGTGACCAATCCAAATGGAACAATATTCGCATTGTAGGGATACCAGAAGAAGAAAAGAGAGAAAAGGGGAAAGAAAGTGTCTTTGAGGAAATAATTTCTTAAAAATTCCCCAATCTGGGGAAGGAAAGAGTCGCTCAAGCCATAGATGTACACAGATCTCCCAACACAAGAGACCCAAGAAAGACAACACCAAGACATATAAAAATTAAAATGGCAAAGATCAAGGATAAGGAAGAATATTAAAAGCAGCCGGAAAGAGAAAAAAGATCACATACAAAGGAAAACCCATCAGGCTATCACCAGACTTCTCAGCAGAAACCTTACAGGTCAGAGGGAGTGGCATGATATATTTAATGCAATGAAACAGAAGTGCCTTGAACCAAGAATACTCTATCCGGAAAGATTATCATTTAAGTTTGAAGTAGGGATTAAACAATTTCAGATAAGCAAAACTTGAGGGAATTTACCTCCCACAAATCATCTCTACAGTGTATTTTGAAGCGACTGATCTACATGGAAGTGCTCCTAGGGCTAAATAGCCATCACCAGATAAAATAAAACCACAGTAAAGGAAGTAGACCAATTAATTACTAAGCAAAAGCAAAATTAAATCAATTACCCCAAAGTCAGCCAAGGGATACACAAAGAGTACAGAATATGACACCTAATATATAAAGAATGGAGGAGGAAGAAAAAGAAGGGAGGAAAAAAGAACCCTTAGATTGTGCTTGAAATAGTGCACTAAGTGAGTTAAGTTAGACTGTTAGTTAGTAAAGAAGCTACCCTTGAACCTTTTGTAACCACTAATCTAAAGTCTGCAATGGCAATAAATACATACTTACTGATAATCACCCTAAATGACAATGGACTGAACACACCAATCAAAGACATAGAGTCACCAAATGGATAAAAAAACAAGACTCATCTATATGCTGCCTACAAGAGACTCACCTCAAACCCAAAGACACACAGACTAAAAGTGAAGGGATGGAAAAAAATATTTCATGCAAACAATAGGGAGAAAAAAGCAGGAATTGCAGTACTTGTATCAGACAAAATAGACTTCAAAACAAAGAAACTCACAAGAGACAAAGAAGGACATTACATAATGATAAAGGGGTCAATGCAGCAAGAGGATATAAACATTATAAATCTATGCACCCAACAAAGGAGCACCTAATTATGTGGAACAAATACTAACAGAACTAAAGGGGGAAATAGAATGCAATGTATTCATTTTAGGTGACTTCAACACAACACTCACTCAAAAGGACACATCAAGCAGACAGAAAATAAGTAAGGAGACAGATATACTGAACAACACATTAGAACAGATGGACCTAACAGACATCTACAGAACCCTCCACCCAAAAGCAGCAGAATACACATTCTTCTCAAGTGCACATGGAACAGTTTCAAGAATAGATCATATACTAGGCCACAAAAGGGCCTCAGTAAATTCAGAAGGATTGAAATTGTACCAACCAGTTTCTCAGACCACAAAGGTATGAAACTAGAAATAAATTATGCAAAGAAAACAAAAAAGCCCACAAACACATGGAGGCTTAACAACATGCTTCTAAATAATTAATGGATCAATGAACAAATAAAAACAGGTATCAAGCAATACATGGAGACAAATGAAAGCAATAACTCAACACTGCAAAATCTGTGGGATGCAGCGAAGGCTGTGCTAAGAGGGAAGTAATTGCAATACAGGCTTACCTCAGGAAAGAAAAACAATCCCAAGTGAACAGTCTAAACTCACAATTAATGGAACTAGAAAAAGAAGAACAAATGAGGCCCAAAGTCAGTAGAAGGAGGGACATAATAAAGATCAGAGCAGAAATAAATAGAATCAAGAAGAACAAAACAATAGAAAGAATCAATGAAACCAGGAGCTGGTTCTTTGAGGAAATAAACAATAAGCCCCTAGCCAGACTTATCAAGAAAAAAAGAGTGTACAGACATAAACAGAATCAAAAATGAGAAAGGAAAAATCACTATAGATACCACACAAAGAATTATTAGAAAACACTATGAAAAATTATATGCTAACAAACTGGGTAACCTAGAAAAAATGGACAACTTTCTAGAAAAATACAACCTTCCAAGGCTGACCCAGGAAGAAACAGAAAATCTGAACAAACCAACTACCAGCAACAAAGATGAACTGGTAATCAAAAAACTACCTAAGAATGAAACCCCTGAACCAGATGGCTTCACCACTGAATTCCATCAAACATTTAGTGAAGACCTAATACCCATTCTCCTTAAAGTTTTCCAAAAAAGTGAAAGAGGAAGGAATTCTTCCAAATTCATTCTATGAGGCCAGCATCACTCTAATACCAAAACCAGACAAAGGTACCACAAAAAAAAAAGAAAATTATACACCAATATCCCTGATGAACGTAGATGCAAAAATCCTCAAAAAAATATAGCAAACGGAATTCAAAAATACATCATAAAGATCATCTGTCATGATCAAGTAGGATTTGTTCCAGGGATGCAAGGATGGTACAATATTTGAAAATCCATCAACATCATACACCACATCAACAAAAAGAAGGACAAAAATCACATGATCATCTCCATAGATGCTGAAAAAGCATTCAACAAAATTCAACATCCATTCATGATAAAAACTCTCAACAAAAGGTGTATAGAGGGCAAGTACCTCAACATAATAAAGGCCATATATGACAAACCCACAGCCAACATCATACTTAACAGTGAAAAGCTGAAAGCTTTTCCTTTAAGATCAGGAGCAAGACAAGGATGCCCACTCTCCCCACTTTTATTCAAAATAGTACTGGAGGTCCTAGCCATGGCAATCAGGCAACACAAAGAAATA